TTTGTGGCCTTCGAGGACAATCTCGGAGCCCTTTTGAGCCGTCCTGGGGCATTTCGGAGCGCGTGTGTGCCATCTTGGGGCTGTCTTGAGCTGTCTTCGGGCCCTCTCGGTCTGTTTTGCATCATGGGGTTCTCTCGGGGCCATCTGGGGCCGCTCTCTGGAACTGTCTAGGAGCGGAACTCAAACATTGAGCAACGGCCTCAAGAAATCCTTCTTTGATTGGCTTGGGCTGTCTGGGGTGGACCTCCCGGGTCCATCCTGGAGCCTCCTGGCTTTTCTTGGAGTTGTCTAGAAGCTCCCTGGGGACATACTGGCGGGCACTTCGGCTCTCTGGCGGCCTCTTGGAGCCCTCTGGGAACGCTGGGGGTTAGGCAGCGGCCCCCCTTGACCCCAGGCCCCCAAAGCCGAGGCGTGTGATATACAGCGGTCGTCTCGACCGCTTAGAGCGGTCTTTCGGTATCTCGTGTGCGTGGTGTCCTTCTTCAAGCGATCTGCTCGACCAGTTTGCAAAATGCCGCGCGCACTGCGAGTGAAGAAGCAACGTCGTGGCGGACGATGCACGGGATTTCTCGTCTGGAGAAGAGATCGACGTACAGCACTCCTACAGCACATGCGCAATCTACCTATCTTTGCTATAAGAACTACAAGGGCTCCGTACAGAAGGGCCCAGGTGTCGTCCATCTTTCGGCATCCCAAGGCGCGTCAGATCTTCTGTGGGTCTCCAGGGGGATCGGGGGATGAGGCATCTCTGTGGGACTCAAGCTGGCGGGCTGGCTTCCTGTTTTGTGCGTCACCGTCATGCTACTCCTGCTCCGACTCCGACTCCGCTCCGTACTTCTGCTTTATCCCCTCGTCAGTCGCATTATTCTACTCTCTTCTCCCCCTGCTCAACCAGGCATTCCTAGCTCGGCCTCCGCCAAGCTCGGCGGCGAGCGAGAGGGGGGACATGAGAAGGAGGAGGCCTTCTCAGAAGGCGGCGGGACTCTTCAGAAGCCCTCGCGCCTTCTGAACCTGTGTTTTCGTATTCGGGGAAGGCTTAGGACACTTCTCCGGGGGACTTCCGAACCTTCTGAGTAGGCCTTCTCCTCCTCACTTCCCCCCCCCTCGCTCGCCGCCGACAGGCACCCTTGCCTGCGGCCGCCGCGACTCTTGCAGAGGCAGGCTGCGTGCTTGACTCCGCCCGTCGCGCGCCTGCTTCTTCTTCCTCGCCAGCTCTTCCTCCTCCTTGGCGGGCGCGGGCGGCGTGGCCCTCCTCCTCCTCCTCCTCCTCCCCCTCCGCCTCCTCCTCCTCCTCATGCTTGCGCCTGCTTGCTCCTCCTCCTTCTCGCACGTGGCCTATCCCTCCTCCTCCTCCTCCTCCTCCTCCTCCTCCTCCTCCCCCTCCTCCCCCGTCCTGCATCTCCTCCCCCCATTTCCTCCTCCTCCTTGTCCTCCTCTTTTTTCCGTGCGCCCCACCACCTCCATCATCTCGTCTTCGCCGTCGTCGCCCTCCTCCCACCCCCCCACCCACCATTCCTCCTCCTCCTCCTCCTCCTCCTCCTCCTCCTCCTCCTCCTCCTCCCTCTGCCGCCGCATCCTCCTCCTCCTATTCTTACCGTCCTTAACTCTTCATCCTCCTTCTCCGTGGTCTGCCCTTCCTCACCCGCGAACGCAGTCGGGGGAGACTTCCTCCTCGTGCGCAGTCGTGCACTCCCCCCTTTTCCTCCACAGTCTCCTCTCCCACCCAGCGCCTCCTGCGCCCCCTCTGCCTCCTCCCATTCCTCCTCCTCCGCCTCTACCTCTCCTCCTCCTCCTCCTCCTCCTCCTCCTCCTCCTCCTCCTCCGCCTCCCTCTCCGCCTCGGTTCTCTCCTCCCCCTCCTCCTCCTCCTCCCTCTCCTCCTCCTCCTCCTCCTCTTCCCTCTCCCTGGCCTGCCCCGCGGGCGAGCGAAAGCGGTGGGTCCCCGTGACCTGCCCCCCACAACCCACCCTAGGCGAAATCTCCACTGGCACATAGGCCGTGCGCGTGGCTCGCGGCGCGCTCCTGCCCTGCGACATCGGAGGCCAGCCTCTCGCGGCGCCGCCTTCGAGGACGTCGCGCGTGCGTGGGCGCGGCGTAGCTGTCGCCGCACGTGCCTGTGCGCATGCGATGCACGTAGCTACCCCGATACGCAACACACAGCACGTAGCGTAGTTATACGGAGCTCAGCAAGCAGACTGAGAGCGTGAGTCCTGCGCGATGCGTTCGCCCAAACACGGGGCAACTCGCGCCGAGCCAACAAGCAGCGTATGAGCACGGACGTTTTGAACACGGTCCGTGTTGCGCTTCAAAGCGGGGGCGTATCAGGGCAGCTACGGTGATGCATGTATGCGCGCGCGGTCTCGACGTCGGCGCATGTGTCTGTTCGTCGGCGGGGGAGACACGAGAGTTTCTGCCTCCCCCTCCGGGGGCCCCAGATCTGGCCGAGGCGTGCGTTCTCCCCCGGCGCGCCGGCCGCAGGACCGCAAGCACGTCGCGGCAGTTCCGCCAGTGCCCACGTCGACCAGCGGTGCAAGCTTTTGCCACTGCCCACCGATCCTGGTGCCCTCTTCACGCTGCCCACGAGCATCCTTGCCGCCATACCCAAGCTCACCGTGCCCCGTCATCCCAGTGCTTCTGCGGCCGATACTGGCAGGCAGGCTGCCGCTGCCTGCTATTTGCGCAGCACGTTCCACGCCCTGCCGCAACCGCCCCCGGTTGTGGACGCGGTTGTGCCTGCGCCGCCATTCGCGCAGACGGGCGTCTCGATCTCCGTTGGGCTGATGGCCATCGTGTGCCACGGAGGGGCCACGGTCAACACCGTGCCCCGCGCCGACCACAGCTCCGTCTTAGTGATCAAGGCTGCGATGCATCAATGAGGCCTAACTCACGGTTTTCATCCGCGCGGCCCAAGGTCTGGCCCTCGGCCGCCCCAGCGTCGTCCAGGGTCGCCGCGATCGTGCCCTCGTGTTCGCTACCAGGGAAGGCTGCAACGCCGACGTCATGCCGTTCTGCCGCGTACTTGTGGTGCGCCCTGCCCTCCGCAATCCCGGCCTGCGCCCACGCCGCAGTCGCCGCCTCCTTTAATTAGATGCGCTTGCCCGCGGGGACTCCGACTGGCCAGCGGTCGTACATCGGCGGCCCGCGGGGCGAGGAGCGCGCGCAGCCACAGACGCACCCACGACCGTCTGGCTCCGGGCCCCGCAGGCACCCGAGCCGGTCCCCGCTGATGGCGGCCCTGGCCTGAGCGCCCGCGGCACACGGCCTCGCGTGCGCGGCTCGTTGGAAGCCTGTCGGGGTCGCTTCGAGGGCCCTCTTGCCCCGGAGGTCGCTGTCCACGAGCAATGTATATTCGTCGCAGCGGCGGCGGTCGCACGCCGCGCTCGACGGCATCTGCGAACAGGCATGCGATCTGATGTCTTCAAGACGTCGGAGTTCTGGGAACCGCCCCGCTCCACCGAGGCGGATTCAGAGGTGGCGACGCGAGGGCCCAGGAAGGGCAGATCACAGCGAAAGGTCTACGCCGCGATTTCGTTCTGAACGTCGGGGTGCCTGGGGGAGAGGAGGCGGGGGAGGATAGAACACTTCATCGATGCATTGGTGATAACGGCAATTATCTGCACCCCTATGGTTCACCTGCCGATGCAGGAGGGGTGTGCAGCTGTGGTTCACCTGCCGATGCAGGAACTACATTTGAGACCCGCCCGTAGGCACCTCTGTCGGAGAAATGCAGCCGTCCTATGCGGCCGCTCGCGCCCCTACGGCCGCGGCGCAGCGGAGGGGAGGAGGAGAAAGGTGGCTATCTCAGGGGACTTTTGTGGCCTTCGAGGACAATCTCGGAGCCCTTTTGAGCCGTCCTGGGGCATTTCGGAGCGCGTGTGTGCCATCTTGGGGCTGTCTTGAGCTGTCTTCGGGCCCTCTCGGTCTGTTTTGCATCATGGGGTTCTCTTGGGGCCATCTGGGGCCGCTCTCTGGAACTGTCTAGGAGCGGAACTCAAACATTGAGCAACGGCCTCAAGAAATCCTTCTTTGATTGGCTTGGGCTGTCTGGGGTGGACCTCCCGGGTCCATCCTGGAGCCTCCTGGCTTTTCTTGGAGTTGTCTAGAAGCTCCCTGGGGACATACTGGCGGGCACTTCGGCTCTCTGGCGGCCTCTTGGAGCCCTCTGGGAACGCTGGGGGTTAGGCAGCGGCCCCCCTTGACCCCAGGCCCCCAAAGCCGAGGCGTGTGATATACAGCGGTCGTCTCGACCGCTTAGAGCGGTCTTTCGGTATCTCGTGTGCGTGGTGTCCTTCTTCAAGCGATCTGCTCGACCAGTTTGCAAAATGCCGCGCGCACTGCGAGTGAAGAAGCAACGTCGTGGCGGACGATGCACGGGATTTCTCGTCTGGAGAAGAGATCGACGTACAGCACTCCTACAGCACATGCGCAATCTACCTATCTTTGCTATAAGAACTACAAGGGCTCCGTACAGAAGGGCCCAGGTGTCGTCCATCTTTCGGCATCCCAAGGCGCGTCAGATCTTCTGTGGGTCTCCAGGGGGATCGGGGGATGAGGCATCTCTGTGGGACTCAAGCTGGCGGGCTGGCTTCCTGTTTTGTGCGTCACCGTCATGCTACTCCTGCTCCGACTCCGACTCCGCTCCGTACTTCTGCTTTATCCCCTCGTCAGTCGCATTCTTCTACTCTCATCTCCCCCTGCTCAACCAGGCATTCCTAGCTCGGCCTCCGCCAAGCTCGGCGGCGAGCGAGAGGGGGGACATGAGAAGGAGGAGGCCTTCTCAGAAGGCGGCGGGACTCTTCAGAAGCCCTCGCGCCTTCTGAACCTGTGTTTTCGTATTCGGGGAAGGCTTAGGACACTTCTCCGGGGGACTTCCGAACCTTCTGAGTAGGCATTCTCCTCCTCACTTCCCCCCCCTCGCTCGCCGCCGACAGGCACCCTTGCCTGCGGCCGCCGCGACTCTTGCAGAGGCAGGCTGCGTGTTTGACTCCGCCCGTCGCGCGCCTGCTTCTTCTTCCTCGCCAGCTCTTCCTCCTCCTTGGCGGGCGCGGGCGGCGTGGCCCTCCTCCTCCTCCTCTCCCTCCGCCTCCTCCTCCTCATGCTTGCGCCTGCTTGCTCCTCCTCCTTCTCGCACGTGGCCTATCCCTCCTCCTCCTCCTCCTCCTCCTCCTCCTCCTCCTCCTCCTCCTCCTCCCCCTCCTCCCCCGTCCTGCATCTCCTCCCCCCATTTCCTCCTCCTCCTTCTCCTCCTTTTTTTTCCGAGCGCCCCACCACCTCCATCATCTCGTCTTCGCCGTCGTCGCCCTCCTCCCACACCCCACCCCCAATTCCTCCTCCTCCTCCTCCTCCTCCTCCTCCTCCTCCTCCTCCTCCTCCTCCTCCTCCTCCCTCTGCCGCCGCATCCTCCTCCTCCTATTCTTACCGTCCTTAACTCTTCATCCTCCTTCTCCGTGGTCTGCCCTTCCTCACCCGCGAACGCAGTCGGGGGAGACTTCCTCCTCGTGCGCAGTCGTGCACTCCCCCCTTTTCCTCCACAGTCTCCTCTCCCACCCAGCGCCTCCTGCGCCCCCTCTGCCTCCTCCCATTCCTCCTCCTCCTCCTCCTCTCCTCCTCTCCTCCTCCTCTCCTCCTCCTCCCTCCTCCTCCTCCTCCTCCTCCTCCTCCTCCTCCTCCTCCTCCTCTCCTCCTCCTCCTCCTCCTCCTCCTCCTCCTCTCCTCCTCGGTTCTCCTCCTCCTCCTCCTCCTCCTCCTCCTCCTCCTCCTCCTCCTCCTCCTTCCCTCTCCCTGGCCTGCCCCGCGGGCGAGCGAAAGCGGTGGGTCCCCGTGACCTGCCCCCCACAACCCACCCTAGGCGAAATCTCCACTGGCACATAGGCCGTGCGCGTGGCTCGCGGCGCGCTCCTGCCCTGCGACATCGGAGGCCAGCCTCTCGCGGCGCCGCCTTCGAGGACGTCGCGCGTGCGTGGGCGCGGCGTAGCTGTCGCCGCACGTGCCTGTGCGCATGCGATGCACGTAGCTACCCCGATACGCAACACACAGCACGTAGCGTAGTTATACGGAGCTCAGCAAGCAGACTGAGAGCGTGAGTCCTGCGCGATGCGTTCGCCCAAACACGGGGCAACTCGCGCCGAGCCAACAAGCAGCGTATGAGCACGGACGTTTTGAACACGGTCCGTGTTGCGCTTCAAAGCGGGGGCGTATCAGGGCAGCTACGGTGATGCATGTATGCGCGCGCGGTCTCGACGTCGGCGCATGTGTCTGTTCGTCGGCGGGGGAGACACGAGAGTTTCTGCCTCCCCCTCCGGGGGCCCCAGATCTGGCCGAGGCGTGCGTTCTCCCCCGGCGCGCCGGCCGCAGGACCGCAAGCACGTCGCGGCAGTTCCGCCAGTGCCCACGTCGACCAGCGGTGCAAGCTTTTGCCACTGCCCACCGATCCTGGTGCCCTCTTCACGCTGCCCACGAGCATCCTTGCCGCCATACCCAAGCTCACCGTGCCCCGTCATCCCAGTGCTTCTGCGGCCGATACTGGCAGGCAGGCTGCCGCTGCCTGCTATTTGCGCAGCACGTTCCACGCCCTGCCGCAACCGCCCCCGGTTGTGGACGCGGTTGTGCCTGCGCCGCCATTCGCGCAGACGGGCGTCTCGATCTCCGTTGGGCTGATGGCCATCGTGTGCCACGGAGGGGCCACGGTCAACACCGTGCCCCGCGCCGACCACAGCTCCGTCTTAGTGATCAAGGCTGCGATGCATCAATGAGGCCTAACTCACGGTTTTCATCCGCGCGGCCCAAGGTCTGGCCCTCGGCCGCCCCAGCGTCGTCCAGGGTCGCCGCGATCGTGCCCTCGTGTTCGCTACCAGGGAAGGCTGCAACGCCGACGTCATGCCGTTCTGCCGCGTACTTGTGGTGCGCCCTGCCCTCCGCAATCCCGGCCTGCGCCCACGCCGCAGTCGCCGCCTCCTTTAATTAGATGCGCTTGCCCGCGGGGACTCCGACTGGCCAGCGGTCGTACATCGGCGGCCCGCGGGGCGAGGAGCGCGCGCAGCCACAGACGCACCCACGACCGTCTGGCTCCGGGCCCCGCAGGCACCCGAGCCGGTCCCCGCTGATGGCGGCCCTGGCCTGAGCGCCCGCGGCACACGGCCTCGCGTGCGCGGCTCGTTGGAAGCCTGTCGGGGTCGCTTCGAGGGCCCTCTTGCCCCGGAGGTCGCTGTCCACGAGCAATGTATATTCGTCGCAGCGGCGGCGGTCGCACGCCGCGCTCGACGGCATCTGCGAACAGGCATGCGATCTGATGTCTTCAAGACGTCGGAGTTCTGGGAACCGCCCCGCTCCACCGAGGCGGATTCAGAGGTGGCGACGCGAGGGCCCAGGAAGGGCAGATCACAGCGAAAGGTCTACGCCGCGATTTCGTTCTGAACGTCGGGGTGCCTGGGGGAGAGGAGGCGGGGGAGGATAGAACACTTCATCGATGCATTGGTGATAACGGCAATTATTTGCACCCCTATGGTTCACCTGCCGATGCAGGAGGGGTGTGCAGCTGTGGTTCACCTGCCGATGCAGGAACTACATTTGAGACCCGCCCGTAGGCACCTCTGTCGGAGAAATGCAGCCGTCCTATGCGGCCGCTCGCGCCCCTACGGCCGCGGCGCAGCGGAGGGGAGGAGGAGAAAATTCCAGCAGCAGCCAGAGGCGACGCTGCCTTTGACGTCGGGTGCGGGCCTCGCCCGCGCGACACGAGCGAGCTGGGCGCAGGCCTATCAGGTCTCGGCGCCCTTCCCCTTCGGCAGGCAGGCCGCGACCAGCGAGTGGATGGTTTCGACCGCGGAGCCCTTGAGGGCGGCGAACTCGGTGCCGACGTGCAGCCCCAGGCTGGTGAACTGGTCCTCTAGCTGGTGGACCTGAGGCTTCAAGTCATCCATCTCCAGCTGATCGCGCAGGATGTTGGCCGACGCGACCTTCTTGCCGCCATACTCGTGGAGCTGTCGCATGGCCTTCTCGTCCAAGGGGTCTGTCAGGTAGATCACTTCCCATCTTTTCTTGAGGAAGTTGTCCAGGTGGGGCGCCTCAGCCACAGAGACCCCACTCATGTTCATGATGCAGTCGATGTCGATCTGGCCCTCCAACATGCGGCTCGCGAGCTCCTGCAGGTTAAGCTTCGCGTCTCCTGACTTCGAAGTGTGGTAGCGCTTGTCGTGGACCTGCATCGGCACCGCATTTTCGTTAAGCCCCTCTAAGGTATTGATGAAGAAGTGCACCTTCTCATCAAGTGTTACGTGAAGCTGGTGAAGCTGCACCTGGATGGTTTCCAGCTCCAGCTGCTCGCCGAACCTTTGAAATGACACCAGCTTCTTGCCGTCGTACTTTTTGAGCTGATGTATGGCTCGTTCTTGCATTGGGTCGGTCAGGAAGGTCGCTTCCCACCCTTTCTTGCGTATCTCGCCCTGGGAGGGCTCCTCGGCCTCCGTCATGCCGTTGTCGCCCGTGGTGTAGTAGATGTCGTTCTGATCCTTCCATCATGCGATTCACGTACTCCTTCAAAATTATATTCTCGTCTTCAGACCTCGATGTGTGGTAGCTGGTCTCGTGGAGCCGCATCTGCTGGAACTCGTGCGCAGAATCAAACTTGTGGATGCGCGACTGCATGTCGTTCCACTCCAGCTGCTCGCAGAATTCCTTGATCGACGTCAGCTTCTTGCCTCCGTACTTCTGGAGCTGTTTCCAGTCGTCCTCGTCAAGGGATTCGTCCAGAAAAACACTTCCCAATCTGTCTCGCGCATCTTGTTCAACAAACGGCTCCTCGGCCACCGAGGTGCCACTCACGCCCGTGATGTAGCAGATGTCGCTCTGGCCCGCAACCATGCGGTTGACGTGCTCCTGCAAATTAATCATACAGTCTCCCGGCTTCGACGTATGGTAGCGCTTCTCGTGGATCTGCATCCTCTGCTCCCCGTGCGCGCTCTTCACATCGTAGATCTGTCGCTTCTCCACGACTTTTGTCTTCGCCTCCTCGCCCGCAACATCGGGCGCAAGGTCGTTGAAACCGATGTCGAAGTAGGCCTTCTTGTTCTTCTTCTTCTTGTGGGCGGGCGCCTGCCCGAAGAGGAGCAGTCGATCGATGAGCCTGTCAACGGCCGTGTGTCTGTGGACCACCATCTCCAGGCCGTCCCGCTTCACCACCGCGAGCACCTCTTCACCGGTTGGCGGCAAGTTGGCGCCTTCCGTTGCAGCCATCATGCTTCACCCACCCTTCAGAGGCCGCGCCAGCAGCCTCCGCTCGAGCGGCAGGCCCGGGCGCCGCCATCACGCGCGGCGCCGCCTTCAGCGAGGGGGACGACGGAACCAAGACTTGGGCCCCCGTGGCTTGAGCTAAACTGGCTTGAGCCAAAATGGCTTGAGCCAAAATGGCTTGAGCCAAACTGGCTACGGGGGAGGAGGGGGAGGAGGAGGATGATGATGATGATGAGGAGGAGGAGGAAGAGGAGGAGGGGGAGGAGGAGGAGGAGGAGGAGGAGGAGGGGGAAGGGGACGAGGAGAAGGAGGAGGAGGAGGAGGAGGAGGGGGAGGAGGAGGAGGGGGAGGAGGAGGAGGAGGGGGAAAGGAAGGAAAGGAAGGAAAGGAAAGGAAGTAAAAGAAGGGGGAGGAGGAGGAGGTGTGGCCCGAGGACCGCCTCCCCCGTTTCTTGGGAGAGGTGTGGTGCGGCATGCAGGAGGGGCAGCTGAGGTGCACCGAGTGGCCTGGCCAAGGCCATCCCCTGGGCTCCAGGATGGCTCTGGGTAGGCAGGGTGGTCATGCAGGTACCTGCTGCAGACATCTTAGCAAAGTTTACCCCCAGGGTTAGAGTCGACGCCTCGCTGAACTACCATTTGCGTGATCAGGCCCTGCGCACGTGCTGTGAGCATCACTCGCTGCTTGGGGAAGCCCGATCTTGGGGTGGGCGTGTAAAAAGGTGAGAACACATGCTCATTCACCAACCCTATTTTGCAACGTACGTCTTGAACCACATCCAGATGTGTATCCTGTGCGCTGCTGCACCACAT